ATAAACTATAAGTGGAAACGGTGAAACAAGTGGTTCGATGGTGATGTGAACCTCAAGATAATGTGTCTGCTTAAGTGCCTTGAGATACCATCGTCATCGACGATGCCCGACATTTGAAGTACTTTACAGCACCTATAACAGTATATAATTAAAAATTAAAAATTTTGTACAGCCGACTTCAATATAAGTTATTAAGAAAAACTCAAAAACGATTAGTCTGACCTTGATCAAATTCATATGAAGCCACACGAGAAGTACCAGCTTTCAATTAAAAATGATAGTTTTGATTCTTAATTGAGATAGATGTAGGTGTCTATGGTCCACAGCATCCACTTACCGTGGTGGTATCAGGTGGACTGTGTGCTCGTTTGTCACCCTTATTCTATAAAAAACGTAAAATATTTATGTACTATTCAAGAGAACCTTCCTCGGAGATTCGTTAAATTATGGTGAAAACTACATCGAAATTTCTATAAATTTTTAAAATATTCTATTAATAAAAATAGCTCTTTCAATCCACAACGCAGCAGTGAGCGTATCGATCTTTGATAGAACAAATAATTAAGAACGTGGTAGCAACCCTAAGAGACTCCTTGACAGGAAACAACCACTTACTTAGTCATTGTCATGGAACAGGGAAAGTACACCACATTTCTTTTTTTCCTCTTCCGCATTCCTTCCGCATCTTGAAATAATAGGTATAATCCCTGCCAGTTTATTTCTTAACTGGAGAAAACATGATAAGATTGGCATTTTTAATTGAAAATGGCAATACCAACAAGATGGCAATGTCAACTAATTAAATTGTTAAAAAATGTCAACTAATAAAATATTTCACATAAGCGTCTCACACTTTGACTGCGACAAGCGACAACTCTAAAAAAATGTTCTATTATGGTGCATATACATATACATATTTGATATGTGAGAAGCGATTTTCTCACAAGGTTACGCTTTTGAATTCCAAAGAGTGCATTGTAAAAGCAATTTTATCAAATTTTTCAAAACCCTAACTTCGTAGGATAATGTTTCGTTTCCAGAAAAAGGGTCTCCGGTTCTCTACACTCACCATACGAAATACAGTAACATTAAGCTGCTATTTTACGCTGGTATTCTGTGAAAGCGTGGTCCTACTCCGGTCGAACCGAACCATTCGTGCTACAACCATAATATAGCTGCAGCTTGGCTCCACCACTTGTAAAGTATTGAATAAAAATATTTTGACTTTGATTTAGATATCGATTAAATCCATTCCAAACCCATTACTTCATATTTTTTGTTCAATCCCTAGAAAATAAAACATAATTTTTATAAATATATCAAACAACTAACAAAAAAGTAGCATTTAATTATCAAGAAAGTACTAATTACTAATAAAGAATCGGCAGTATACACTGTACGGGACCCAGAATCCTGGGAGCTGGCTCGCGCTTACCCGGTTTTTATTTAGTTCGCATAAGGCCTAATGCTTCGTAATGCTTTGAAACTAAAGCAGCAGAGGCAGCTTAATACGACCACTTAATGCGATTTTCCGCACAAGACGCACCGTTTTGTCGCTCTCGTGAATTTAACACATTCTTCATCTGGTCGGTACGCGCAGTCTATATGTCTATATGTCTAGTGCAAATGTATGTAGAGGCCATAATCCTATACTTGCAGAAATTACAATATTAAGTATCGAATCACACACTTGGACTGCTGCGAATTTTATATACAAGTAGCCGACATAGTTGGACTTAATTTTTCGTGATTTTGTTTTTATTTTATTTTGTTAGGATGACATTTGGCTAAAATTAAATTACAAATACAAGTTGATTGCGACATCAGAGCAATAAACTAGTTCGCAGTGTGTTTTTTTTTTATAAAAAACTGAAGTGACGAAGGAACTAAGAGTCCGCCTGATGCTAATAAGTGGCTATCGTAGCCACGGGGATGTCCATGCAACCAACTTCAAATAAGGAAGGATCAAGAGCGTTTTCTCTCCGCGAACCAATTAAATTGCCTCACAACCCGTAATTAAAACCATTGTCTCTCTATACACTGCTGACCGTAAGTAGCAAGTCAGAAAGCAATGCTGCTTGCGAAAGAAATAGGTAAGATAGTGGTACCGGCCCAGACGGACCCCTGGACAGAAGAGCAGTCTTATCACCTAGGTCATTAGTTCATGGCAACTTGCAGATATCTCAAGATTAACTGAACAAAAAGAAGCCCCATAGTCTTTTTTAATCCATTTCGTAAACTAAAATGCATTAAAGTTAAAAATCTCCACAAATATAATTATTTGCAGTGCAGTGAAGGCTTGAAGAATACATTAGTATGTGAATATTTCAAAAAGTTCAAAGCTCGTTGATGTACGTTTATTGATCTCGGCAGAACGTTGGCGGAAAGTAAAAAGTGCATGAAAGTGTAAATTGTCAATAAGCGACCCCTCCCTCACCGTCGCATCCACCGGCCCCATCATGCCATTAATATCGGCTCTCGGAAGCGGCGACCGGTGGTCACGTACAAAGGCCCATTTGCACGAGCAAGACATTCAGCGCGAAACGGCACCACTCCCGGACGTGAGCACGCACACATGCACGACTTTCGTTCACAGATCGATCAAATGCTGCAATACATCGAAGTAAACTTCATTCGACGACTCGCACACATATGTATGGACAAGCAAGCGTGTGCGTTCCACTCGTCCATACAGGTTTGCACATTGATGCCCATAAAAGTAACAAATTAAAATTCTCATTTATGTCATGCTCACAGATTGCTGCCGCGGCTGGAGGCTGTGGTACAATTGAACTTGCACTAAATAGCGCCGTACCGACACAGGTCTTATAGCTTGTTACGCGAGCATCCTTGTGTATCTTCTTGCATGTTTCAAAAATGTTTACTTTAAATTATTCATTAGTCATTTTATTTTTAATTTAAACAAACGGTATAAGAATTTCAATGAAAGTTTCAGTTGGGTAGGGTCCTGGGTATAAGCGGTGAATAACATGGGTCCAAAGCCACTAAAATAATTACAGTTTAATACATAACGACTCACTACCAAACACATACCCCCCAATTTAACTCTACGAATGAAAATTATTACGACTGTCATTTAATTACAAAAGTCTGAAAAGTAAATAAAATACACGATTATATTCTTGGAAACTCGTAAGAAACGGGACTGCGATGCGGGTGGATATATGGCAGGCATGATTAAATTCTTATTAAAGAAAGACAGATTACTATAAAGAAACATGTACAAAATATGGGTCTTAATGTAAAATTCTATACAATAATTTTACAAGTATCCAACAAAATAAAAAATTTTAGTACTAAATTGAAGTATTATTGTGTATCCAACAATGCATACAAATTTGAAACATAAATTATATAGGACCCAGTTGATTACCTTGCAGTACACACTGTACAACCGTACGATTTGGCCTTCACGTTGACAGTATTATATCGACATTTAAGATTTAAAATGTACTATAATATCTTAACAATCTGTTGCCTCCTGCCAATGTTTCATTAAAGAAAATTACTAACGAGTTGAATGTAAATTCAAGAAAAACAACTTCCTTCTGCGTGAATCCCATATCTCTGGTGCCCTTTGACCTACAGGACCCAAATTCTCGACTCGACTGAGCTACTACCTCAAGGTATCCACATACCAAATTTAAAGTCAATCGGTCCAGTGGAACGGAAGTTATCGTGTCGGCATACAGACTAACAGACAGCCAGCTAAAACCATTAACTTCCTTTCAATGCTACGCAGAAGGAAGTTAATAATTCATAGTCTGTTCTATCTAATTTTCATTACATGCATTGTGATAACTTCGTTGCATAGTGGTTACTGTACAATCTGCGAATCATAAATAGGTACTACAATTGGTCGTTTCCGACAGTATAGTCAAAATCAGTGAGGAGGTCAACAGATACCATTGAAAGCTAAAACCATTCTTAGAACTTATTCCTAGTAACTAGTAACTATTAACAATCTTAACGGTAACTAACTACCGACTATAATATTTTGAAACCTTACAGTATTTTGACAAAAGTTATTAGGCGAGGATTTGCCACGTTAAAAGGCTTTTAGCATGCAGTGGAGGAGGGAGCACTGTTTCGTTTTAGCTTATAATCAGGAAAAATAGGATTTAAATAAAAATGGAGCCGATTAAGAATCTAATTCAATAACATGTTATTCATATTATGGAAAAATATTATATGGTTATTGCTTCAAACTCTATCGTCCAATTTTTTCCCGGCTATGATATTATACTTATTTATTTCGATTAATATAAAGTATTTTAAAAATCCATTTGATCATAAACTTAATTGAGTACCTATGTCCTATATGTCATATATGTGCATATGTTTTCCGAGCATATTATACTGTTACAAGTATCAATTATCAAGCGACAAGATCGTGACTAACATACTATATTTTAACCTGGCCTTAATGTAACTACATTCTTGAGATAACTCCTCTAATAGAGTAACAGTTTTACAGATACTATATGTCGAAGTTTCAGATCTGTTCTACGCAAACACGCTTATTAGTTTTTCTTCGAACTGCCACTTAGTTACTGATACTTAAAATCCGTTTTCTTGGTAAGGAGTGATTCCACATAATTACTCAGGAATTTAAAGTGACAGTGTATCTAGATTTTGTTTAGAATATAATAAGAATTAAGTAATAGATATAGCTGTTTATGTTTTCGAATTCACTAACCGTTAGCCTGTATTATGCGCTCGTTTGTCGATCTTTATCATCATCATCATTACAGTCCTTCACAAGTCCACAACTAAATATGGATCATGCCTATAATGAAGTTATCTCATGACCTGTAAACGTTTCGCTTACAGGTCATGAGATAACTTCTCGAGAAGCTTTCTCCCCTATCGGTTGTCAGTCTTTAAACCGGTACTGGATCCTTTGCACTTCAGCTTACTGTACAGAGGTAGTATCGTCTCCTTTTTGTGTGGGGTGTAGACAATAGGCAGGCACTGACCCGGTCGTACTGGAAGTGCGGCGCGTGGTGGAAGGATCGCGCGGCGCCGCGGCCGTACAGGTAGGGGTAGTAGGCGCCGTACATCCCGCGCCTCAGCGCCGCGCCCGCCGCGCGCGCCCCATGCCGCGCCCGCCCGCCCGCCGCGCCCCGCGCCCCGCGCCCGCCTGCAACACCTGCAACACCTGCAACAACACCGCACTCAATACATACCGCCAGCTGCGACACACCCGCGCCAACACCGTTAACACAAACGTTAGTTACCTCCTCAATTTGATATTATACAATAAAAAACTAAGGCTATAGGTAGTATATGGAACCAAAAGAAAACTATAAAGTGGTTCATAACTGTCTTACTAGGAATATAACTATGATATGAGTACGATCTAGTAATATAAGTAGGTTTCTTACTGAACTAATTTAGGGACATAATTATATGTTACAGTCAAAACTCATAACCGGTTAAAACCACTTTTGACTGCAAAAATCAAGCAAAAGTAGTTTTGAATAAGGACGTTGGTCAATACCACTTTTAACTAAGTACTTACTTTTGAATTATATCTACGATTATTATAATAATCAAGTACTTATGTATCAAATTTGGTTTTTCGAATATTTTGTATTTGTACAGCGAAGAGCGAAGAAAATAAAAAATAGATTGAGTTAATCAATTGATATTTTTAAAAGCGATAACTTTTTACCACTCCATACGGACTTGATCAATCTACACCATAAGCCAATAAAACCACTTTATTATGTAAAAATAGCAATCCTCCGTGGCGCAGTGGCTTAGCAATCAGTTGTTGCGCTGGGGGCCGCGGGTTCGAATCCCGCACGGAACAAGTATTTGTATGGCCTACAAATAATTGTTCCGGGTCTAGATGTTTGTCCTTGTGCAATTTATGTTTGTAAACTGCCTCCACGACACAGGAGAGAATCCTAGTGTGGGGGTAACGTTTTAAAAAAAAATTATCGATTTGAAAGAAATATTAATAAGTCCAACAATCATTTATCTTTCTGACAATATGCTTTTTATATAATTTATATGTTCAATATGATTGTTGGATACGATTTTATGCGACAAAACATTGGAATCTTGATGTTTAGGCGCTAGTAGAACATACCTACGCGCTTTGCGCTTAAGGCATGCATGATAGGTAAATCACGAACCAACTGTTTACAAACATACTTAAAAGGAACTGTGCTTTATTTCTTAAACGGACAGATTACTTCACAGTTTTTCGTTATTTTCCGCTGTATTCGATATAAATCGATACTTGCCACGAATTTTAGCCACCGTGCCTAACATTTCTATGTTCTCACTTTAGAATAAAATAAAATACTTTTATGCTTTCTGAAATTCTATTTCCTATTTTTCGTACTCTTCAAAACCGTGGAACTTTAACTCCTAGGTTAGTTAACCGACTTACTCGTAGCATTTCTTTTCTTATGTACAGACTGGCTGTTCCCCGCGACTTCGCCCGCGTATAATTTAGGGTAAAAAATAGCGTAAGTTACTCCCTATAACATCAGCTATCTGCCAGTGAAAGTCTCATCAAAATCGGTCCAGCCTTTTCGAAGGTTAGCCGGAACAAACCGACAGACAGACGGACAGACAGACAAAATTTGAAAAATTGTGTTTTTATTATGTGTACCGTATATACTTTCATATGCATATAGTAAAAAGCTGTTATTTTGACATTACAAACAGATACTACAATTGTATTTATTTGTAAAGATAAGGTGCTACTGTTATAATAGTCCCGTACAAATTACAACCAGATCTATGAAAATAATAATAATAATATAAATATAAAAGTAAAAGAATATTACTTTCTTTTATAGGAGAGGAGGCAAACGAGCATACGACTCACCTGATGGTTAGTGACTGCCGTCGCCCATGACAACTGCAACACCAGGAGACTTGCAAGTGCGTTGCCGGCCTTTCAAAAAGGAGTAAGCTCTTTTGAAGGTCCCTAAGTCGTATCGGTCCGGAAAAATTGCCGGTGGTAAATTATTCCACAGAGAGGTCTGGTGGACCGCCAAGCATGCAGATGGTGTGGATGGTATCGGGAGTTTTGTCGCGATGTGCGGTAGTGAAATTTGGCGGCAGTGATTAATCCGAGCAATTCCTCAGAGCACTCCTTTCTTTGCATTTTCTCGCTCCTTCATCATCTCTTCGCAGCGCCAGTCAATCGAGCCGATCGGAAAGGACTCGGTCGTCGACGATTTGAGCCGCTCTGCGCTGGATGCCGTCAAGTGGAAGGAGCTGGCACTGGGGAGCCCCAGCCCAGAGATGGGAACAGTATTCCATGTGAGGCCGAACCTGCGCCTTGTAAAGTTGCAGGCGGTGTACCGGCATGAAATACTGTCCCGCTCTACTGAGCTCACAAAGCTTTTTAGAGGCCAATTTGGCCTTCTCTTCCAAATGACCACGAAACTGCACGTCACTCGATATATCAATGTCGAGGATTCCGATACTGGCTGAGGCAACAACCTTGAAACTGAGGAGATACGACAAAGGGGTAAACGTGCAAACTTGTGTCTTCTGAGGATTAAACTGGACTAGATTTAGTCTTTTTTTTATAGGATAAGGGTGACAAACGAGCACACAGTCCACCTGATAGTAAGTGGTTGCTGCAGCCCATAGACATCTACATCTATCCTCTATTACAATTCAAAATGTACATGCGTAGTCACCCGTGAGGAATGAGATGGAATGCCTCATTTCCAGTAAAAAGGGCCTCCGGCCACCTGCAATCACCAAGCGAAACGCAGTGGTAAACCTCTACTTCACGCTGGTTTTCTGTGAGGTCGTGGTACCACCCCGGTTCGAGCCGGCCCATCTGTGCGACAGCAAAAGCTGCCGCGTGGCTCTACCACTGTTAAATCGTCGCCCCCAATCAGAGACTTTGTTCAGCAAAGACTCAACCTTCAGACACAAGTTTGTTCCGGTACGTTTTCCCGAGAAACACTGGCACGGCCGGTGTACAGAACACTACCAGTGCCGTCATCCGCAAAGTAACGAATCTTACCAGTTTGCAACATATCATTGATATGCAGAAGAAAGAGCGTTGGTAATAGCACGCAGCTTTGTGGAACACTAGCATTAATAGGCTTGTAGTCGGAGCATGCACCGTCTACAACGATCTTGATGCTCCGATCTGCAAGGAAGCTGGTGATCCAATTGCACAATTTCTCGAGAAGCCCATAGGAAGAGAGATTCGAAAGAAGCGCTTTGTGCTAAACCCGATCGAAGGCATTCGCAATGTCCAAACTAACGGCCAATGCCTCCCCCTTTGACTCATCTGCCTCCGCCCATCTATTAGTCATGTAGACCAGAAGATCACCAGCTGTTCGACCCCGACGAAAACCGTATTGGTGGTCACTAATCACCTGATGATCCTCAAGGTACCGCATGAGCTGGCAGTTTATAATGGATTCCATTATTTTGGAAAACAAGGAGGTGATGGCGACAGGCCTGTAGTTAAACGGGTTTGGAGCGGTCGCTTTTTTTAGGGATCGGGTGGACAAAAGCCGTCTTCCATGATTTCAGGACTACGCCTAGGGAATAGGAGTACCGGAAAAGACGCGTGAGAACCGGTGCTAACTCCGGAGTTCACGTCCTCAGCACAATTGGGGGGATTCCGTTAGACCCACTTGACTTGTGGATGTCCAGGGAGAGAAGTGCTTTGCGAACCGAGCTCTGTGTGAACCGCACATCCGGCATGCAACACTCACACCGCGGGATGGTCGGTGGTGTGTTCCCCCCGTCATCGAGAGTAGAGTTGGACGCAAAGAAAGAGCCTAGCAGATCGGTTTTCTCCTTTGCGGCATGGGCCAGTGAGTCGTCCTCCCTGTGCTGAGATGGAAGAGATGGCTGACAGAAGTTCCCTTGGACAGCCTTGGCGAGAGACCAGAATGCACGGGTTCCCAAAAGAATGCGAACTAGTTTCTCGTCAATTCTGCCTATATGCTCTGACTTTGCCTTGGCAATGTCTCTTTCGAAGGACCTGGAGGCGGAATTATAAGTCTGTTTAAAGGCGCTGTTGTTTACATCCCGGGACGTTGATGCGTCAGCCCAGGCCCGGTAGCACTTCTACTTGTAGCATGATGCTATTTTACAGGAGCGACTAAACCATGGTTCCTCCTTTGTCCATTTTGCCTCCGATGGGCACCATAGAGGAAGGAATAAAAATTCCATACTCTGAAGTATCACAGCAGCAACAAAATTAGCAACAACGTTGGGATCGTCCGGCGAGAAGCAAACCCGCCCCCAAGGGTAGGCTGCAAAGAAAGACCGCATCCCATCCCAATCGGCCAACCTATAGTGCCCAACACGGCGGCAGCCTGCAGAAAGTAAGCACGATTTGAGCGTGAGTGGCACCACAGTCCGGACTAGACAATGGTCCGAGGAGCCAAGAAGAGCGTCGACGGAGACCTGATATCTGTCCGATGAGAGGTCAGGAAAAGGTCCAACAGAGAAGGAGCACTATGCTCCACATCTGAAATCCGCGTAGGCGTAGTAACCAGTTGTGTCAGACCATATGCCAAGGCAAAATCATGAATAGATCTTCCCGCATGATCGGTTAAACGTGAACCGAGACATTCGGCGTGGTGGGCGTTAAAATCGCCAAAAATCACGATCTCTGCGGATGGGACCTGTTGTAGCAAAGAATCTGTAGCCATTTGGAAGTGGTCGATGAGTCGGTCTGTTTCGGCATTACCGCTATGGGACCTATAGAGGCACCCATAGACGCGCGGATGGTCTTCGCTGTCTACGCATAGACAAAGGATGGACAAGACTGCTGAGGCGTCGAGAACAGATGTCCTCTCTGACGTATACGCAAACTCCAGCTCGGGGCACAAAGGAGGGTTCTAATTGTACCCCGGTAACCCAGGTAAGAGAGATACGAAGTATCAGCCGGAGAGGATACCTGCGTCTCGGTCAGAAAGAGCAAGGCCGGCTTCGCCGTTTCAACATAGTAGTGGACGGCATTTAGGTTCGAGTGAAGTGTGACTTTTAGTACAATAAAGTTTAGTGTATAAACAAATAAATTACTTAAAATTGAATCACATGTCATGTCCTGTACAAGTAAAAGTTTAGACGATACTTGCGGGAGCGGTTGAGCAATCTCGACGTAGACGCTCGCGAAGGCATGCTAGTGGCAGAACAACGGATGTT